AATATTGGCCCCCACTCTCTTCTGGCTTGTAGGGTTTTCGCTGAGAGATCCTCTGTGAGTCTGATGGGCTTCCCTTTGTGGGTAACTCGACTTTCTCTCTGGCTGCCCTTTGCATTTTTTCCTTCATTTCAACTGTGGTGAATATGACGATTATGTGCCTTGGGCTTGTTCTTCTTGAGGAATATCTTTGTGTTGGTCTCTGTATTTCCTGGCCTGCCTTGCTAGGTTGGGGAAGTTCTCCTGGATAATATCCTGAAGAGAGATTTCCAGCTTGGATTCATTCTCTCCATCACATTCAGGTACATCTCTCAAACATAAATTGTTGGGTCTTTTCACAGAATCGCTTATTTCTTGGAGGCTTTGTTCATTTCTTTTCGCTCTTTTTTCTCTAATCTTGCCTTCTCATTTTTTTTCATTGAGTTGATCTTCAGTCTCTGATATCCTTTCTTCTGCTTGGTTGATTCGGCTTTTGAAACTTGAGTATGCTTTGCAAAGTTCTCGTGCTGTGTTTTTATCTCCAGAAAGTAATTTATATTCTTCTTTAAGCTGTTTACTCTTGTTAGCATTTCGTCTAACTTTTTTCAAGGTTGTTAGTTTCTTTGCGTTGGGTGAGAACATGTTCTTTTAGATCAGAGAAGTTTGTTATTACCCACCTTCTGAAGACTGTTTCTTTCAGTTCATCAGACTCGTTCTCCATCCAGCTTTGTTCCATTGCTGGTGAGGAGTTGTGTTTCCTTGGAGGAGGAGAGGTGTTCTGGTTTTTGGTGTTTTCATCCTTTTTGCATGGGTTTCTTCCCATCTTCATGTGTTTATCTGTGGTCTTTGTAGTTGATGACTTTCAGATTGGGTCTCTGAGTGGACATCCTTTTTGTTGATGTTGAAGTTATTTCTTTTTGTTTTTTTAGTTTTCTTTCTAACAATCAGGCTCTTCTGTTGTAGGACTGCTAGAGTCCACTCCAGACCCTGCTTGCTTGGGGATCACCTGCAGCAGCTGCAGAACAGTAAGGGTTGCTGCTGGTTTCTTCTTCTGTTATCTTTGTCTCAGAAGGATACCCGCCAGATGTCAGTCTGAGCTCTCCTTTATGAGGTGATTCTTTGGATATATGGGGATCGGGGACCTGCTTGAGGAGACTGTCTGTGCCTTATAAAGCAGCTCAGGTGCTGTGCTTTGAGCTCTGCTATTCTGTTTAGAGCTGCTGGGCAGGTATGTTTAAGTCTGCTGCAGCGGAACTCAACCACCTTTTTCCGCAGGTGCTCTGTGCTGGGAAGGTGGGCTTTATTTATAAATTCCTGATGTGCTGCTGCCTTTTTTTAGAGATGTCCTGACCAGCAAGGAGGTAGTCTATTCGCAGTCTGCCAGTAGAGGCAGTGCTGAGCTGCTGTGGGCTCTGCCCAGCTGCTGTGTGAACTTCCTTGTGGTATTGTTTACAGAGGTACAGTTGGAACTGCCTCGGTAGTGGTGAACTGCCTCGGTAATGGCGGATGCCCTTCCCCTCACCGAGCTGAACCATCCCATGTCCAGCTGCACCTGCTGCAGAACTCTCAATCCAGAGGGTTTCAGGTTGCTGGTCTTTGTGGGGGTGGGACCTGCTGAGCCAGATCACTTGGCTCCCTGCTTCAGCCCCCCCTTTTTTTTTTCAGTTGAATGGCTCTGTCTCCTAGGCATTCCAGCTGGCAGTTGAACCGGCTGCCGAGATTTGTGTGAGTTTTTGTGGGGAGACCTGTGGCGCTGGCTGAAACAGCCATGCTGGAAACTCGTGGTACTTCCAGCCATGCTGGAAACTCGTGGACCAGGAATCTCCTGGTCTGTGGGCAGTAGAAGCTCATTTGGAAATGCGGTGATCACTCACCCTCTGCGGTGTTCTCTCTATGAACTGCACTCCAGAGCTGTTCCTATCTGGCCATCTTGGATCTGCACCTTAATGTATTTTTCAACTTAGACATTATAATTTTCCTTTCTAGAAGTTCAGTTTGGGTCTTTTTGTATTTTCCACATCTCTTACATTTGTGAGCCTACAGAATACAGTTATAACTGTGTTGTTTTTTTTTTTTTTTTTTTTTGAGACGGAGTTTCACTCTTGTTGCCCAGGCTGGAGTGCAATGGCGCGATCTCGGCTCACCGCAACCTCCGCCTCCTGGGTTCAGGCAATTCTCCTGCCTCAGCCTCCTGAGTAGCTGGGAATACAGGCGCATGCCACCATGCCTGGCTAATATTTTGTATTTTTTAGTAGAGACTGGGTTTCACCGTGCTAGCTGTGATGGTCTTGATCTCGTGACCTCATGATCTGCCCACATGGGCCACTTTTCTCCCCCCAGGACAAGATTAAGTTACTTGGAAATAACTTGAGTTTTAGATCTTTTTTTTTTCCATGACAGTGTCTTGCTCTGTTTCCAGGCTGGAGTGCAGTGGCGTGATCTCGGCTCACTGCAGCCTCTACTCCCCAGGTTCAAGCGATTCTCCTGCCTCACTCTCCCAAGTAGCTGGGACTAGAGGCACGCGCCTGCACGCCTGGCTAATTTTTGTATGTTTAGTAGAGACGGGGTTTCACCATGTTGGCCAGGATGGTCTCGATCTCTTGACCTCATGATCCACCCGCCTTGGTGTCCCAAAGTGCTGGGATTACAGGCGTGAGCCACCGTGCCCGGCACTTTTACAGCTTCTCAGATGAAAGCAGAGCCAGCTCAGTATACGGCTAATTCTTCCTCACTGTTGAGGTAAAACACTTCTATGTAGTCTATGTAATGCCTTGTGCCTCTTTAGATTTCTGGTCTGACTGGCAGAAACAGGTACACTTCTCAGCTTGTTGTAAGCATCAGGCATTACCCCCAGTCCTTTCCTTATTCTCTCCCTCTTTTCAGTTGGGATAATTTCTATCACTGTGTCTTCAAGTTCGGTAATTGTTTCTTCTCTAATTTCTAGTCTTCCAAAAATGATTCTTTCCCATCCTGGGTAGTATTTCTGTGTGAATGTGCTACACAGTACTTTGACAAATACTTGAGAGAAATGCCCTGGAGACTCTTGGAGTACTTTGTAGGTTTCATCTCTCTAGTGTTCAGTCCTGCAAACTGTAGCCACGTTTGTCTCCCCAGGCTCTGCTCCATTTTCCAAACTCAAGAGTCCACTGGGCTTTGCTTGCATCGTTCCTCTTTGCTGCACGGCCTGGAAGGTTTCTAGACGGTAAGCTGAGGTAATGACTGGGCGCCCCTTTATTGTTTCCCATCTCTATGGGGTCACCGTCTTTTGTTGCCTGATGTCTCATGTTCTGAAAACTGTTGCTTCCTATAGTTTGTCCATTTTTTGGTATTCCAGGTTAGCCTCATAAATCCTGTTACTTCATCTTGGCCAGATGCAGAATTCCACACTATGATTTTCAGCAACTGTGTACTGTTGGCTTCTATTTGTGCTGTGGTCAATTACAGATCTCTCCATCCTCTAATGTACAGTTGTTTCCCTTACCTAAATGCAAAATTTTATAGAAATCTGTGTATTTTGGGAGATAAAAATATAGAGCTAATATAATAGAGGGTGATTTCTATGATAGTATGAACAATATCATGCAGAATGCCAAGAAAAGAGCTAGAATTTCTTCTGGGGATCTTGTAAATGCTTATTCGGCATCAGAGATTAGTTATTCAGTTGGACTCAATAGGCAGTGCTTTGTTTATTTATATGCAAGATGTTTACATAAATGTAGAAGAGGATAAAAGACAAAGCCCTGCAAATGTCGCCACTAGAGACTTGTGATCCAGATTGCCGTTGTTCCAGGGATCATCACAGCGTGAATACGATGTCTAACCAGCCACCGATCCACTGTATCTCTCCATTTGCCTTATTTGCCTGCAAGAGTCTTTTTGTGCGAATGACTCATGATAATTGTGGCTTATTACCTGAAGCCTCATGGGAAACGGTGTTGAATGCTTTCTGAAATCAGAATGTACTACTTGTTTGTATTAGCAGTTGGTTTAAAAAGAAAATGAGATTACTTTGGCCCGGCTTTTTCCATGCTTTTCATGACCTCGGTAGCTCAAAAATTTGAAATGATATGTTGTGGTGCTACTGAGAATTCATATTTAAGATGTGAATTTTAATTTTAATTTGGTTTTTCTCTCTTTGGGTCAGCATTACTTTGTTTTAATCTCCCATTAACATCTGATTCTTCGTCTTTCAAAGATTACTAATGGTAGCTCCCCATTCATTCACTTGAAATCATTATTGTTGTTTTATGGCCCAGCATACCGTTCATTTTTACAAATGTTTCACTGATCTGTGAAAAAAATATAAATTCAGTAGTTGCTGAGTACAGGGCTCTGTATGCTTTTGGTCAAGTTTATGTGTTGTGTTGTTTAAATCTTTTAGAGCTTTACTGAGTTTTCACCTATGACATCTGTTAGATATATAGAGGTTAAAATCTCCTCATATAATTTGTGGATTAATTAATTGTTTCTTGGTTGGGTGCGGTGGCTCATGCCTATAATTCCAGCACTTTGGGAGGCCGAGGTAGATGGATCACTTGAGGCCAGGAGTTCAAGACCAGCCTGGCCAACATGGTGAAATCCCATTTCTGCTGAAAATGCAAAAAAATTAGCCTGGCCTGGTAAAGCGCAAGTGCAGTCCCAGTTACTTGGGAGGCCGAGGCGTGAGCATCGATTAAACCTGGGAGGCAGAGGTTGGGCCGAGGTGTGAGCATCGATTAAACCTGGGAGGCAGAGGTTGCAGCGGGCTGAGGTTGTGGCACTGTGTCCCAGCCTGGGTGACAGCGCTGCTGTCTTAAAACAATAGGAAAAGATAATTTCTTTATGTATTTTGAGTCCATGTTATTAGATACATATACATTTTAAATTGTTTTCTCATCTTGCTGAATTAAATCTTTAATGTTTCCTACCATGGGTTGGTTAACTGCAATAATTTAGTGAAAAAAAAAATGGCTAAATTTTAATGTCACTTTTTGATATGACACTTTGGATCAGTTCAACTTTGTGATCCCTGCTTTTCCACTCAGGTTATCAGTTGATTGGGAGCCACTCTGGGGTGAAGCTTTGCAGGTGGACAAAGGTATTTTTTTGTTTTTATTTAATATGTCTATCATATGCAACTTTTAAATAACTATTATACACTGTCATTAAATTTACTGTTTAGAGGTATAATTTACATTTAATAAAATGTACATATTTTAAAATGATTCTTCAAAATGAGTTCAGCAAATTTTGATAGATGTAGAACCTATATTCACCAACTCCAGTGAAGATATAAGCTGTTTTCCCTACCCCAATAAATTTATTGTGCCAATTTCTAATCAATAACTCTCTTTCCCGTGGGAATTATTGTTCTAATTGCTATTACTCTTAGTTTTGCCTTTTTATAATCTCATATTGAGTGGCCAGGTGTGCTGGCTAACACTTGCAATCCCAGCAGGTGGGCGGATCACTTTAGGTCAGGAGTATGAGACCAGCCTGGCCAAAATGGTGAAACCCCGTTCCTAGGAAAAATATGAAAATAAGTCAGGTGTGGTGGTGTGTGCCTGCAATCCCAGCTACTTGGGAGGCTGAGGCAGGATAATCACTTCAACCCAGGAGGCAGAGGTTCAGTGAGCCCAGATCGTGTCACTGCACTCCAGTTTGGGTGATAAGAGTGAGCCTCCGTCTCAAAAAAAAAAGAAAAAAAAAAAGAAAAAAAAAAAAAAAAAGAATTTCACATGAGTGGGATCATGTAACGTGCAGTCTTTTGCAACTGGCTTCTTAAACTCAGCGTATGTTTGAGATGTCTCCGTGTTGTATCCTGTAACATGTGTTAGTAGTTCCTGCACTTTCATTGCTCAGTAGTATGCCGTTGTACGAATATACCAGTTTTAAAAAATCTGTACATAGATATTTGGTCTGTTTTTAGTTTTTGACTATTACGAAAAAAAGTGCTATGAATGTTCTTTCACAAGACTTTGTGAATGTAAACTTCAGTTTTCCTTGGGTAAATACCTAGAAGTGCAATTGTTAAGTTATAGAGTGGGTGTGTATTTAACTGTAGAAGAAGCTCCCAAACTGTTGTCAGTGTGGTTGTGCTACTCTATACTTGCTTAGCAATTTATGCAAGTTCTGTTTGTTGTACATTCTCACCATTGTGTGGTATTGTCTGATTCTTGGCATCCTCATGGTTGTGAAGTTGGACCTCATTGTGGTTTTAATTTACATTTTGTTGGCGATGGTTGATGATTAGGAACATTTGTATTTTATTTTTTTGAGACAGAGTCTCACTCTGTTGCCCAGGCTGGAGTGCAGTGGTGCCATCTCTGATCACTGTGCCTCCTGGTTTCGAGTAATTCTCATGTCTCAGTCTCCTGAGTAGCTGGGATTATAAGCGTGTGCCAACATACCCAGCTAATTTTGTGTTTTTAGTAGAGACGGGGGTTTCACCATGTTGGCCAGGCTAGTCTCAAACTCCTGACCTCATGTGATCCACCTGCCTTGGCATCCCAACGTGCTGGGATTACAGGTGTGAGCCACTGTGCCCAGCCAGGAACATCTTGTGATGTGTGTATTGGCTGTTTATACTTGTGAAATGTCTGTTCACATCTTTGTTCAAACTGGTTGTTTGACTCTATATGATTGATTTCTAGAAATTCTTTATATGTTGTGGATGTGAATCTTTTGTCAAATGTGTATTGTGAATATTACTCTAGTCTGTGGCTTTTCTATTTCCATAAATGTATCTTTTGAAAATTTTAATTTGGATACAGTTCAGTATATCATATTTTTCTTTTATGGTTAGTGTTTTTTGTATTTTAAGAAATTTTTGCCAACCACAGGGTCACAAAGATATTCTAGATTTTCTTCCAGAAGCTTTGTATGTAGTCTTAATTTTTTTAAAGCAGTTTTCTATAGTTTTAATTAATTAGTCTCTTATTCTTATATGTGTTAGAGATACATTTTCATATTTCAGCTTATAGTCTACAGTGCTGCATGGTTATGTGTTTAATGGAAACTAATGTCTATGGGAAAACTCATTTTGAGGAAGATACATACATATGCACGATGCGTGCAGACAGGTAACCGGGAATAGTAAATATCACTTCTATCGTATTTTCCAGTATCTCCTCAATCAATAAAATGGAATGGCAGCACAGTTCCAGTGCTGCGCACACGAATGGCACTGCCTTGCTCAGCATGCCACCCTGCTGCATGTCCATCCCACAGAGTTGCCAACATTTTCCTTGTACCTTCCCATAAATTATGAGACTAGGCTTCTTCTAACACTTGCTTTCTCTTATAAATGTGTAAGAAAATAATAGTGAGGTAGAGAAGAAAGATTGTAAAGTAAGGAAGTATGAAAAGTATTGGCCAGGTGCGGTGGCTCACACTTGTAATCCCAGTGCTTCGGAACGGAAAGTAAGCAGATCACGAGGTCAAGAGATCAAGACCAGCCTGGCCAACAAGGCAAAACCCCGTCTCTACTAAAAATATAAAAGTCAGCTGGGCGTGGTGGCGCACGCCTGTAATCCCAGCTACTCAGGAGGCTGAGGCAGGAGAATCGCTTGAACCTGGGGGGGCGGAGGTTGCGGTGAGCCAAGAACCTGAGGTTATGCCACTGCCCTCCAGCCTGGCAACAGAGCAGGACTCCATCTCAAAAAAAAAAAATCCACAAGGGATAGTTTGCAGAATTCAAATCGTCCTCCAGCTGCTCCACAGCAAATCATTCTTTGAGTGTGTGAGTCAGAGAAACCCTGGAGGAGGCAGAAGCCTGCCCCGCAGCACAGGCGTTACTTTCGTCTCTCGTTTTTCCTTAGGTGAAAATGACACATTCAGTTTCCTTTATTCACTGCCGTAGCAGGTCTTTGATTTTGATACAGAATCTTTGGGGGCTCAGTGGCCGAGGGAGGCGGACAGATATGCATGGTGGATTCCTCCTAAGCAACCTTTGTGAAATAAGCCAGTTATTTTTTATTTTTTTGAGGTAGGGTCTTGTTCTGTTATTCAGGCTAGAGTCCAGTGGTGAAGTCTTGGCTCACTGCAGCCTCCCGCCTTCTGGCCTGAAGTGATCCTCCTACCTCAGCCTCCCAAGTCGTGTGCCACCGTGCCTGGCAAAAATGTGTTTTTGTATTTTTTTGTAAAGACAGGGTTTCACCATGTTGCCCATGTTGGTTTTGAACTCTTGGACTCAAGCGACCTACCTGCCTTGGCCTCTGAAAATACTGGGATTACAGGTGTGAGATTCCGCGCCCGGCCCCACATGCAATCTTGGCTCACTGTAACCTCCGTCTCCCAGGTTCAAGCAATTTCCCAGCCTCAGCTTCTCGAGTATCTGGAACTATAGGCACGCACCACCACCCCTGGCTACTTTTTTGTATTTTAGTAGAGACGGGGTTTCACCGTGTTGGCAAGGATGGTCTCAATCTCCTGGCCTGGTGATCTGCCTGCCTCAGGACCCCAAAGTGCTGGGATTATAGGCATGAGCCACCGTGCCCGGCCCAGTTTTAACTTTTACGTTTGGGCTTATGATTCGTCTGGAACTAATTTTTATGAATGGTATGAGATAAAGGTCAAGATTTATCCCACCTCCGCCAATATGGGTATCCAGTTGTTTTGACACCATTTGTTGAAGACTTGTCAACCTAAATAACAAAGAGGGGCTCTCTAGAAGAAACTAGTGGTTATTTCAGAATAAACCATTGCAGTGGGAATACATAAACCTCAGTAAACACTGGGGAGGAAGGAAGACAAAGTTTACTTTTTAATTTTTTATGAGTTATTATAAGTCAGATAACAGGGAAGAGAAATGAAGACAAAGAATTTTAAAGAAAAAATGAGGATTATATAATTGTTTTGAAATAATTATCCTTGGCTACAAAGTTAGTAACAAGGGTGGCGGCAGTTCGAGGTTACACTGGCAGTTGCTGGGCAGATGACGCTGTCAGAGAAGCGTTTTGTGTGTGTGTAATGTTGTGGCAGCCTTTGTGCAAGGTTGTGGTTTTTGTGGAGCCTTTACCAGGCATATGAGATTACTCTCTTCATGGGCTTCCCTGCCTCTGTTTTTCTTAACATGAGTGACTCCATTTTGATGGTGACAACTTTTACGTTTCTTCCTTTTGATCAAGATGTTTCTCAGAAAGCATGACTGAAAGGTCATCTTGTTATTTTTATTTATTTGTTTATTTTTTGAGACAAAGCCTTGCCCTGTTGCCCAGGCTGGAGTGTAGTGGCGTGATCTCAGCTCCCTGCAACCTGCGCCTCCCAGGCTCAAGTGATTCTCGTGCCTCAGCCTCCCGAGTAGCTGGGACTACAGGTACTTGGCACCACGCCTGGGTCATTTTTATATTTTTAGTAGAGACAGGGTTTCACCATGTTGGCTAGGCTGGTCTCAAACTCTTGATCTTTTTTTTTCTTTTTTTGAGACAGAATTTCGCTCTTGTTACCCAGGCTGGAGTGCAATGGCGCGATCTCGACTCACCGCAACCTCCGCCTCCTGGGTTCAGGCAATTCTCCTGCCTCAGCCTCCTGAGTAGCTGGGATTACAGGCATGCACCACCATGCCCAGCTAATTTTTGTATTTTTAGTAGAGACGGGGTTTCACCATGTTGACCAGGATGGTCTCGATCTCCTGACCTTGTGATCCACCCGCCTCAGCCTCCCAAAGTGTTGGGATTACAGGCTTGAGCCACCGCGCCCAGCAAACTCTTGATCTTAAGTGATCCACCTGACTTGGCCTCCCAAAGTTCTGGGATTACAGGTGTGAGCCACCATGCTGTGCTCGCCCTGTAGTTAGGCTTTTTATTGAGACAGAGTCTCACTGTGTTGCTCGGGTTGGAGTACAGTAGAGCGATCAGCAACCTCTGCCTCCCGGGTTCAAGTCATTCTTCTGGCTCAGCTTCCTGAATAGCTGGTGTTACAGGTGCCCGCCACCACTCCCAACAAATTTTTACATTTTTAGTAGAGATAGGGTTTTGCCATGTTGGCCAGGCTGGTCTTGAACTCCTGATCTCAGGTGATCCACCCACCTCAGCCTTCCAAAGTGCTGGGATTACAGGCATAAGCCACTGTGCCTGGCCTGTAGTTAAGTTTTGTTGT